AGGTTGAATATGGTAACCCAAAAAGATTCCATCATTTGCTGTTGCTGATGTTTTTCCAGATGTGTTGTCAACCCTTTTTGGATTGTTCCAAAACAGTATCTTTGCACCGAAAGGAATCAACTGACCTGGAAAATCTTCATCAAATCGAAGCTTCCATGGGGCATCATCACCGTTGAGCTGTGGTGTAGCATTCACTGCCATGGAAAAATGTTGCATAGCCATTGGCCAATACTGCAATGGAAGACCGGACTGCACGAGATTTGTTCGTGTGCCCTCAAGCATATGTCGGATCTCCCTTTCCACAAATGACTTTGAGCTATCCACATACTCCGTTGATGTTTGGTGTCTGTAACCCAACTCCCCAATGGTAGCGATAAGTACCCTTGAATTGTCGGTGTAAACTGCTCCAACTTCATCTTTGTGCGATAAGAAGTGGTTGAAAGCATTCACACACGATTCACTTGATTTGGTTTGACTTGGATAGACATGTCTGAACTGGGTGTGGATGTCCTTCATCACCAATGCCACTGTTTCACCTTTGACGCCTTCTTCCACATTGGATTTGATGACAGTGTGGTCGGCAACAATGTGATCCCCAAAACTTTTTGTTTCCAGTCTTTTCTGCCCTCCCTTCTTCTTTGCGGGCGGCGCCATCATACGCGCTTTCTGGCAGATCTTGCAAAATGGATTCTTGGGGTAATGACAAAATTGGTGAGACTTGCTACATGCTTCTTGCTCAAGATCGGATGCCTTTCTAGATCTGACATACTCGGTTTCGCTATCATGAGCTACTCCCTCATCTACGCCTTCATCCTCGGCACCTTCTGCTTTTGCAGCAACCATTGCAAAAAGACGCAACAAATCACAATCTTTCTTGAACTGTCCACTGTTCAAAACACGACAAGAGCTATCAATAACCGGCACACGGCCGTCTACGTTCAGCTCGATGACTCCCATGTCCGGACGAATGAAGTAAGGCCTACCATCAGCCGGCCATACAAAGCTGTATCCCTGTTCCATACACCTGACCCCAACCGAAAGAACAGCAGGAGTTTCCTCAAGAATGTATGGGGAAAATGGCTGATGTAGGGCATCGACCTTTACGTCGGCCATCTCATCCGCACGAGTTGATCCGTTGGCTGTAGCAAGACAGATTGGAGTGTCACTGACGCGGCGATTCGTTGCCTTTGCAGTTTTCAACATTCCCTCGCTAATTAGGTCCTGTTCACTACCTGTGTCGACTAACCAAACACATCCGTCTTTTGATGCAGGGGTAGCAACAGTAGGCAAATGAGTGTTACTGACTTTGTTCTTTGGACCGATCAATGCTCTGCAGTGGTTACATGAGGTCCCCCCTTCTTCGTCATTGCAACGGAATCGGCACTTTGGCTGCTTTTCACTGCCAAACAGCTTCACGAGTTCCTGCAACTGCCTGGCCGAAACCTGAGCACAATGAGCGACGAGTTTGTCGGGCTTTGGGACTGACTCTGAATCAGGGAACGTCTTCTCGTAGATTCGGGGTCTATGCACTACCCTTCTTTGCTCACCTGTTGCTGGAACTTTGAAGTACTCCACTTTTGATGAGAATACAACAGCTCTATGGCATTGTTCTTTCATGGCCTTTGTAGCCTTTGGCAACCCTTTTCCCTTTGCTATGCATGCATATCTTTGGATGATGCATGGCGCAGCTTTTGCACTGGCCTTCTTCTTTGGTGCAGGGCTATTTGTACGCTTTGGATCCTTTGTGGGTGCAGCTGCAACTTCATGTTTGTAAAAACATTTGTCACCACGACGACATTTGCCCTGTTGGAAGTAAGTGCATGGGATCTTGGCCATCTCTTCCCTTGACTTTCTGTTAGGGGAGCCACTTCTACTACCACCTTTGCCCTTGCCCTTCTTTTTGGGTGTACCAGATCTTGAGGAATCCTTGACATGCTTGTAGGGACAGTCTTTGCCCTTTTCGCACTTGCCATCCCTAAACTTGTAGCATATTCTATCCCCTTTTCCACTCTGGCTTCGACCACGGGATCGACCTCGATCGCCTTTTCCTTTGCCGCGATCTTTGCCCCCCTGAGCGGGTGCAGCGGGCTGAGGCTTCTCTGTCTGCTTGTTCTTTTCAACAATTCTGTTTCTGTTTGAACGGAGTCTTTCTCTATCCAAAAGACCACGAATGTTCCTCAACAAGTATGCATAAGACTTTTGTTCGGACTTTTCAGGGGCCCTGTCAAATGCTTCAATGTCATATTTCATCAATTGGCATTTTGGAATTTGTCGGAGTAAAATGTCTCTGAGAACTAAGTCATCTGGCGGGGTTTCCATTCCGGCAATTGTGGCATCCCATCGGTTTAAAAACCTTCTAAGGTCCTCCACAGATTCCCCAGTGCGAACGACTCCAAGTAGGTCCTCCACACGATAGAGACTCCCGGCTTCCTCAGACGTCCTGAAGTAATCTTCAAACATCAAAAGGACTCTCCTACCTCTGACTTGGATCCCTTTCTTTGACTTTTCATCTTTGAAGTTATGGATCTTTGTGGCTAAATCACCTTTGGCCGAGCGAGTTAACGCTGCCGACAATTTGGTGTCAAGTGTGATGAATTTCCCAGGTTCCTGCAGCTTTTCTTCTAACTGATCCCTAGGGGTCTTGTTGTCGAAGACTTCATTGAGCCATATCCAAGCCTCATCGGGTTTGTCAGAACATGACTTGACTTCGTCCCTGACGTGGTTGCGCCAGTGACGATATGCTTCTGGGGCAGGCAGATCATTCAGTTTGATAGTCTCGGCCTCTTTTGTTCGGGGCTTTTCACCATCTGAATCCTTTGAAGTCAGTCTAGTGATGAGATCTAGCAACTGTTGTCCTGAAAGACCTAAGCCTGCATCAGCCGCTTTCTTGCCATTGTCACTTGCTAATGCTGTAGGACTGGGCACACTTGGTTCTTGGTTTCCATCATCCTCTTGTTGTCTTTGCACAGGCAATGGGGGCAACTTTGGAGGTGCTGCTGATCCTGCGGGAGTAGTGGAAAATAGATTGCTCAACCTTTCCTTTGCGTCCATGGCTAGGCTGTCCATACCTGTGTTAAGCCTGGTTTCTGCTCCAGCCTTCGTACCGACCGCTGATTTTGGGGTCATGTACAAATCAGGATTGTTCCCGCCTTGTCCATCATCAGGTTCAACGGGTCCGTCAATCTTGACTTCAGGGGCGCTACGCTTGTTGAGCTTCTCCAATAAGTCCTCTACTTGTCCTTGCAATTGATAGTTGAGTTCAGCAGCTTGGCTTTCCTGCTTACTGCATTCCTCTCTAATCTCCTGGATTACAGCATGTTCCTCCTTTTTGTAACCTTCCATGCCGCGCTTTGCATACTCCACTGTTTCGTCCACGATTCGTTTACAGTCTGCCTCGAGGCTGCCTCTGAGTTCAGAAAATCTTTGCTCATACTGGGCTGAAACTTGCGCTACCTTTTGGTTTGCTCTCTGCTCAGCTTCCAGTGCTACTGCGTTTGCAGTGTTCTTGAGCTTTATGTTTGCTTCGGTAAGTTCCTGTCTCAGTTTTGCGACCTCATGCTCAGTTGCCGATTGGGACACTGCGTATTCTGATACCAGGTGTTCATGTCTACGGTCTGCTTCTGCACGTTGATGGGCGATTTCATTAAGACAAACTCCCTCAAACTGTTGGTACAGTTGTTGGACCTTTTGTTCCATGAGATGCGTGTGCCTTTCCTCTGCCTCTTGTCTGAAAGCGTCAATGTTACCTTCGTTTATGTAGGTAAGATTGTTCCGCACAAACTGGAAATACGCCTGGACGGGCTGTGTGAAGAAACCTTCATCCACCGACATGGGCGTGGGTGTTGTCCCAGCCGTCACAGGCTGAGAACCAGTTGCTGCAGTCGCCAACGATCCTGAAGCAGGGACACGGGCGCCTCCACCTGAGGTGTCACCAGTTGTCCGTTCCATGGCTTTAGAGACTACGGCTGATAACCTGTATTTACACAGGTTTCAGCAGGGGATGTTACTTATCCCAACTAGACTGATAAACCTATAACAATGGGGGTAAAACAACCGTTAAGCACCGCGGCCCAAACCCTTTTTGACTGAGCCGCACAGCTGTAGTAACATGCTAGTTTACATAGGGTTTATGGTGGAGTGCAAATACAGGTTCGCTTAAAAAGGACAGTTGCTTTTAGGTCTCATATAGGTCCCATCTATCCACCAGACAAAAAAGAGCTTGCCTGGTTACCCTCTGGTAAAAGTTTACATAACTATGGAACATCACCATGCTATGAATGGGTAAATCACCTATTTCTATGGGCCATTTTCAATAGTTATGTTAGTAAACCATTAACCATAGTTATATCTACCATAAACCATAGTTAAGCCACTTATAAGGCAACTGAACGCTATCGAACGGGGGCCCCATCCTGTGGTTACCTCTTGAAGAAAACCCAGTTTGCTCCAGACGTATCGATGTTGCAAAACCTCGACCCGTGTCGCCAGCATTTGTCCGTTGTACAAACGTTGCGAACATTGGAACCTGTGAAATCACTGGACACGAGCCGACCTGAAAAAACCACTGAGCTATGGTAATGATTACATCCCATTATTGCTCAAAATAACATCCCAACTATATCCATCTAAATCTTGTTTCTATATATATATATCACAAGTATCTCTCAATTACCTCCAAATTATATCCCAATGCTATCATCTTATAGTGATTATCCCATCGAACATCTCAATATCATATCATCAAAAGCTCCAGTAAAACCTCCATTATGAGAAGTACTGGGATAATCATAATGATGTTATCATTCATTCATTGATATATATATATATATATTGATATTAATTATAATATCACCCCAAAACATAATAATATTAATAGTAATATATATATAATATATATATAATATAATATATATATATATAATATATAATATATATATATATCTTCCCATTAAAAGCTGGATTTTGGCCAGCTGTCGCCACAAAGCTGGATTTGCGACCAGGTGATTAGAGCGAGTAGGCGGATTGGGATGAGCCCTGCTTGCTTCAATGGGCTTTAACCAGAAAGATCAACCAAAAATGAAGGTTTAAGAGTTGCAAATGGGATGAAATAATTCCTGCAACTGGCTGGTTATATAGGCTGTATATATATATATATAGGCCAGTTAAAACTGTTAAATGGACACTGGAAATAGCTAAGTTACGAAGATTAGCCACTTAGCAGAGTTTTTGGTGAGCACTAGAGTTCATAGGGCGAATCTAAACAAACATAGCTTCGGGATCTCCACCTTTCAGGGATTTAGGGTTTCATTTTGGGTTTTTAAGGGTTTTACCACGTTTTTGTTCCCCACCTGCCAGGTGAGGGTTGTTAGATTTTATGTCAGTTGCCTCCTCCTGCCTCCTGCCTCGTCCTCCTCCTCCTCCTCCTCTCCTCCTCGTCCTCCTCGTCCTCCTTGTCATCCTTGTCGTCCTTGTCGTCCTCGTCGTCCTCGTCGTCCTCGTCGTCCTCGTCGTCCTTGTCGTCCTTGCTCAACTGCGACCCGCGATCCACAGTGTTCTCTGCCGGACCCCAACCACGACCACCCACGCCCAGTGTTCCCTGCCGGACCTCATCTGCGAGTATCCATGCCAAGTGTTCCCTGCCGGACCTCAACCGCGAGTATCCATGCCAAGTGTTCCCTGCCGGACCTCAACCACGACCATCCACGCCCAGTGTTCCCTGCCGGACCTCAACCGCGAGTATCCACGCCAAGTGTTCCCTGCCGGACCTCATGTAGGAAGATATGGGACAAAGAATGTGCAGAAGAAAGTTAGAAAGAATGTCAGAAAGAATGTCAGAAGATATGCCAGAAGATATGCCAGATAGAATGCCCAATAGAATGCCAGATAGAATGCCAGAAGATATGTCAGAATATATGCCAGAAGATATGCCAGATAGAATGCCAGAAGATATGCCAGATAGAATGCCAGATAAAATGCCAGAAGATTTGCCAGATAGAATGCCAGATAATATGCCAGAAGATATGCCAGATAGATATGCCAGATAGATATGCCAGATAGAATGCCAGATTGAATGCCAGAAGATATGTCAGATAGAGTGCCAGAAGATATGCCAGATAGAATGGCAGAAGATTTGCCAGATAGAATGCCAGAAGATATGCCAGAAGATATGCCAGATCATATGCCAGAAGATATGCCAGATAGAATGCAAAATAGAATGTCAGAAGATATGTCAGATAGAATGCCAGAAGATTTGCCAGTAAGAAAATGTATAAATGTCATGGTGGGGATCACACGAAGTAAAGTAATTTTTAAATAGGATTTTACTTTCAAGGCTTACTTCAGGTTGCATGTCAGATTTAGGTTTGAGGTTTAGGGTTTTGTGTTTTTGTATGAGTCTCGTCAGCCATTGGCCATTCCGCATCCCAAAATGCAGAAAGCACTGATCCTGCGGAGTCAAAACGCACTTCCCCGGACAGCACCCTGTCCTGGCCGTATAATTACTTTAGTACAGTTGGCTGTTTGGCCGACAACATGACATCGAAGTGGCAGTCCCACCAACTTCTAAGGAATTCTCTACGTTTTGGAATACGACTTGATTGAGATTCCAAATTGAAAATAATAGTCCCTTGTGGCGAGAAACCATTGTCAGTTGCAAGTGAGGTCAATAAAGCAATAGTTCCATGATGGTTGCATTGGTGATTCTTCCTGCCATGGTTAGTTGTAAAATGTTCTACGTACTGTTCATGTTCTGATGATTGTTGATCATGATTCCCATGTTATTGGCGTGTATCATCACAAATAGCAATATCCAAGATCTTCAGAACATACAGACGGATAGGGCCCCCAGATTTGGTCGGAGTACACTTGCATCATGACACATACTGCAAGGATCTATATAGAACTGGCTGGTGGTTTGGAACATTTTTTATTTTCCATATACATGGAATAATCCTTCCCATTGACTTTCATATTTTTCAAGATGGTTAAAACCACCAAGTAGAGAATCTATATAGATTGACCCAAAATTTGCGGGTCAAGGGGCCCCTAAGTTCTGTTCCTTGGTTTACGTTTTTTTTTTTACAACAGCTAACTAGTTCGATGTATCCACCATACATCCAACATTTAGCCTAGGCAAACAAACTCAAGTCAGCTAAAGTCAGATAACTTATCCATCATTGGTAGATATATTCCCTTAAATTCCCTTATATATTCCAATATAATCCAATGTATCTAGTATCTATATTTAGCATTATTTAGCTTATATATGAAATTTGTATACCTGCTCATAAACCATAGAATTCACCATCAACCTGCGACCAGTGGTCCCTTCCTGCAGTCCCCAGACACGGCGTCCCAGGAAGCCCTGCTGCTGACATCCCAACACGGGCAGAGCGAGGAGAGTTCAGAAAATCGTCGCCCCACACTGCGCCGTTGAACAGGGAGATTCCACCAAGAGTAATGTGTTTTTCTATGTTTTGTCATGATTTGTTCATGGGATATCGTTTGCGTATATATATATATGATATAAATATGATATAAAAATGATATATATATATACATATGTACAATCATAATATATATGTATATATACATGAACAGATATTCATAATATGTATATATATATATATACATAATATTTATTTTAATTAGTATATATATATGGTCATAATGTATATAAACATAATATATGTACTTAATTTTTGAATATATTGTTGTAACATAAATATATATATATATATATTGATAATATATCTAATCGTTATGTATCTATATTCATAACTATATATATAATAATAATAGAATCATAATATATATATATTATTTAATCATAATATATATATTTACAACATGTTTAATATATATATATATATAGTGTATATATATATATATACGTACATACCATTCTTTGTATGATAATTTATAGTTGTTGTCTGAAAATTATGGCTTAACCTCGCAAAAAACATTGTTGTTGAATAGGATGGTGACTGACCTCTCAGGGTTTGGAGGCACCCTAATTTTCAGACAAACCCATATGAACGGTTCCCATCAAGTAGGGGTACCCCCAAATCATCCATTATCCGGCTATCTTAGTACTGAAGCTTTAAAATTGGTGTGTTTGAAGATAGGGTAAACCCTCTAATCTACTGAGTCATCATGAAAACGGTGATCAAAATTACAATGTTTTGGGTATATCACATGTTCAGACACATCCATATGGGTTTAAGATAACATTTTTTTTTACACAGCTATGGAACATCACCAATTTAACAGAGCATCCATATGTGGACCATTTGCGATAGAGTTTGTTTCCACTTGTGGGAAATACCAACAAATCCAAAGTTTCATTGGTTTGGTCATAAGTGGTCCATGTCAGCCTGGGTTATTTCTTCATGTTTTTTCCTCTCTTCAAGGGGTAATTTGTTGTTTGACTTAGTCCGGATGTGTTTGAATAAAATGAAACCATTAAAAACTCAGGCTTACTGAATGAATGGATTTGTTTTGAGTGCTGGGGCTGAGTGCTTACTAGGTCCCTGGCAAGGTCTTACTGAAGATAAGGGGAGGGGGGTGGAGGGCGGGCATGACAGTGGACATGATCTTGGGTTTGTTCTGGTGAGGCAGCAAAGTAAACCCTCATCTTCCACTTGCCTGTCAGATGGTGTAAGCAACTGCAAAAACCAAAAAAGTGTGAAGTCAGCTGGTTACCTATCTCTAAAGGTAACTGAACGATACTGAACGGCTGTTCTTGAAGCGTTCGCTAACTGATTTGAAGATTTGTCGAACCTCCCGAAATCGGCTCAGAGTGGTTGAAAGGCCCAACACCGATGTCGGATGAAATTCCAAGGCGCACGCGCCGGCATTCCGGCGTTTTGTTTTTCCCTTGGATGATGTGCCACAGAAGAGACAATGTACTAGCTAATCCCTTATATATATAATACAATATATATATATATATCACATTTGTATATGAATAACCACAATGTTCTTTGGCTATTGTATATTAACTACTTTGGGGGATTTCCGACCATTTCCACAAATCATTTCTCCCAAATTCGAGCAGAAACATGCAGAAACAGCAGCAGTTTTCGAGGGCCAGAAGCTGTGCACGGGCCATGACGGTCACGGAAGCAGCACCGGCAGGCGATGTGCGGGTTCCCTTTTGATAATTTTCAATATTTTTTTGTTGTACCTACGATATTTTTTTGTTGTACCTACGATAACTCTGACTTGTAGTGGGTTCATAAACCAACTTGTATAGTTTGGGGCACTTTGTGCGTCTTGATTGCCTCCAAATTTGTTTCGCGCAGTAGGTATTTTCACCATGGATTTTCGGGGGTCGTTGGATGGTTGCAGGTGGTACCCTCTGGTAATTTGTTACATAGCGAACTGGAAAATCACCATTTCTAATTTCTAATGGGAAAATCCACTATTTCTATGGTCATTTTCAGCTATTTTGACATAACCAGAGGGTAGTTACGGATGGTTTCCAACAGCCATGGGGGAATCGAAGCCATAAAAAACACCCTCGGCAGTTGATGGCCTTTTGATGGCCGAGATAGGCCGAGAGATGCCGGGAGCAACAAAAATACCACCATGGTGGGTTTATGGATTACCCTCTGGTAAATTAACAGTTGGACCCTGAAAATCACCCATTTTTAATGGAAACTAGTCTTCCAACCCCGATGACTGCCAGGGTCGAACTGTTAATTTACCAGAGGGTATCATGGATTTAGTAAATGGTTATACCCAGATGCGAACCATGGTGCTGGAATATTTACCTACATAAAAACCCCAAAAATGAGCCAGTTTTGTAGGTACATATTCCAGCACCATGGAGCATCTGGGATATAGTAAAGCCATTTAGTAAATTCACGGAGTGGGTTTTTGTTCAATTTAGTGACCCAAATCTTCGTTGGGAAACACCGCTCCGTGTGAATAACAACGGGCCGCTGGGAGACCCAGAATTGTCACATTTTGCAACAGCGTCCTCTTGTACTGGTTGATGGGGGCTACCAGATGTCACAAAATTCTTCCCAATTTCCAATACATAGAAGTAACAAAGTAGGTCCATAGCCCACTCAAGGACTAATCAGAGGTTTGGTCACAGCTCAAATAACTAGGATTTCTGATGGATTCAATTGCAGTTGGACGAACCAATGATGAACATGGGTCCCCCCCTTAAGAACAAATACACAAGTGGTGATACATGCATGATGCCGCCAAGATCAAGACAATTTTATCACAACTTACCATTCCCATACGTTCCCGGGTGCTGGAAGATTTACCAATTTTCACCACCCAAAGTCATTCAGCCGCGCAGGTGAATGTATATCACATGGAGCATATGGTAAAACAAAATAAAACAGATTATGTAAATCTATGTCCAATTCAGATTGAAAACTAAAACGCTTCCCCCTTTCACTAAAGCCATGCGAAGATGTTCGACCACTACGAGAGTCAACTTAGGGGTTAATTGTAATCTGGGGTATCCAGTATACCCACAGTATCACAGTTATGGCCCGAAATTCCAGTTGTAAATTGCTATTTCTATGGATACAAATTGGGTGATCAATCCATAAATGGGATCCTTAACTACCTTCAAATGCTTCAAAGTGTGTACTGTTTGTGGATCCATCTCAAACTTAAAAATAGATGAAACTATGTTAAAACCATCTCATTTGTTTTTTGTTTCGTAGATTTTTCCATATCAACTTTGATATATATATATATAGATATATATATAGATATATATGTATATAGATAGGATAGGATAGGATAGGATAAGATAGATAGATAGATAGATGTAGAGTTGTTGCTCCTTCTCTTTCAGCCTCGCCAGTGCCGGCGTCGCGGCGAATCACCAAAGCGTTGATCTCGGCGGCGGGACGACCCACGGCGCTGGATTCCAGGAGCTGCCTACCGCTCAGTTCAACCAGTGAAGTGATAACTTTGGTGATATGGAAATATATGGTTATTAACTGTCTATGGTAAATATATGGAAATATATGGTTATAATCTAGATAATGTGGTTATATATATGGATAATACAATATATGTTGATATAATTATATATATATAATCAATAAGGCCTAATTTAAAATCAATAGGGGATGAAAAATCAGATTCTGAAAATTATTTGTAGCTATTGCACGGGCTTTACTATTGTCCATCCAACATTATAATTATATATGGTTGAATATGGCTATATATGGATAATATGATTACAATACTGGTTAATAATATGGTTATTAACTGTATATGTCTTTATATATATATATAACATACTTACAACTAGTTGGTGGTTTGGAACCATGTAATTTTATGACTTTCCATATATTGGGAATAATAACCCCAACTGACGAACTCATATTTTTCAGAGGGGTTGAAACCACCAACCAGATAACATACCCTACTGGGTCCCGGGGTTAACTCGTAGCATCGTGTGTTAAGTCGTAGCGTTCTAGCGTGTGCCTTGCAGAAGTGCATGTTCAGAACCATGGTTTTAAGATATGTTCGTTTAGTTGATGTTGTTTTTTTTGTTCTGGGGTAGCGTGTGCCTTGCTGTCGTTTTGTTTTAGTGTTTGTGCTCAAGCTTTGCAATCTCCATCATCCCTCATCACTCCAGCAATCTTCAGCAATGCAGGTCAGGGGGATACTGGGTTTGCAGAGGTGTTTCTATGTCTTGATCTTGTGTTGGTTTGTCTTTACTTTGTAATCCTGTGTATGTAGTCAGAGTCTTAGTTCGTTGCTTTTTTTGGTATCGTTTTTGCCGAAGAGCTCTGTGTCCGTGTTAGAAATTAGTATGCTTGGCGAGATGGTGAAAGGGTGAAACAACCAAGGAGGCCCTAATTCAAAACAACCAAACCAAAACATACAACGCAACCTACAAAACAGCAATCAAGAACTTAGTTCATTGCGGCTTCTTCGTCGCAGGTTCCATATGGCGAAGTGCAACAGAATGCTGAGCAGGCGCTTTTGTTGTTGGTGTGGCTATTTTTTCGCGAAAGGGTTTTGATTTTAAAAAGAGCCCTTTGTATATAGTTCGTGTCTTAAACCAATTCAGTTTCTCCTTTCAGGGTTTTCTTGCGTCCAGGTGCGTGACCATGGTCCTCACGTTCAGCGCGGAGATCTTGGAGACGACGCGTCTTGAGTGCGACTGCGTTTCTGCGTGTGTGTGTGTTTGTGTGTGTGTGTATGTGGGTGGGTGGGTGTCAGTGTCCCCTGTCGGTTGTTTAGTGACACGAACCTTAGGGCAAACTAGATCCCATGTGGACATTCTTGTACTAAAAATTAAGAATATGGCGTACAATACTGGGCCCAATAAGAAATCTTGGGTTGCTATTCTTGCTTCTTGCACTGGCGGGCGATTCGTAGATCACGTTGTAAATACAGAACTCCATTACTAGAAGACTAGACGCATCCTTTAAACATGTGTTGGTTGGAGATGTTGCTCTGTTGCGTGTCTTCAGATTAGGTATATTTCAAACCCTTGCTATTCATAACTTATGTGCCGGTGTGTGGTATAGCTAGTGCTGCCGGAATTGTTTTGTCTAATCCAAAAGGTTGTATTCCGATGTGTACACAAATTCATTGGATTGTCATCTAGGTACTAGAGCCATGACATACAAGCGGTGGATTCAAGCACATGTGGTGCATTGATGCATCGAAAAATGTCGGACATTAATGGGCTTTTCTTGGGGGGAATGTACATGACCACATTGGTTAGGACTACATCTTTTTATTCCACTGGGAATGATCACGATCCCATCATATTCCCACATTCCCCATTCCCCATGTCTATACCATGATTTTGTTGTATCATACGGTGGTTTCCTGGAATAGGTGTACCCCTAGATCATCTACTTTGATAGGAATTTCCCATATACACCATCCAGTTTGGGGTACCTCCAATTTAGGAAGCCCCCATATTTTCTGTGTTGTTTTATGTGTTAGCTAGTGGTATAAATCAGCATACCAGTGTGCTTTCGTCGCTGTTCCGAACATGACAGTGGAGCCAACCAAGTATAGTATAAGGACAACACAGTGTTAGCACGATTGAAATTTGTGTAGGCGAGTTGCAACATGTGTTGGTTCACCTGCAAGCTTCCTGGGTGATTGTTTGCGCAAATTAGTGCCCATGACTGTGCAATAGTTTAAGGGACGTCGCTATTATTCCTGCCATGTCTTTGTTTGACATTGAGAGTAGCGATGAGTTGTTGATTTGTCTTCACGCATCCTCATTCCAAAATGGGGCCAGCTGGTTGCTAACATCCGTAGAGCCAGCGTTCCATGCCATGACTGAGGACGGAGCTTTGAGCGGATTGGCGCGAGAGCTTCGCTTCGAACATTCTCATGCATTTGCACTTCTTTCTGGCCAGCAGTTTGTTCGTGGGGCTGGTGGTGGCAGATGTGCAGAGATTGAACGTTGCTTGATTTGCTCAGCTCGAAAGCACACAGTAGCTTGGGCCACTCGGTCCGTGGGCCGAGGAAAATCTGTTGTGACCGGAGGCTGTTGCAGTTGCTGTATATATGCTTGCGCCCTTTTTCGATGCACTCGTTCGGTGACACTCCTTGTACAGAGCGGTGCTGTCATTGCTGTTCGTTCTTTGAGTGCTGCAATCCGTGCAAAGCGCGGAGAGAAGGATAAGTGCAACTGTAGGAAGTGCCTTGACGAATGAAAGGCAAGGTTTGCACCATGATGTCCTCGATAGCCAAATTTCATGTCTATTCGGAATAGCGTGAGATACCTCTTGTGATTATTATTGAAAGAATTTGTGCAAGATTTGCATTGGGATGTTTTTCTTTTCTAGACAGGAATGAGAGGATGTGAATCGCACCGCGACATTGTGCAAGACACAATGCGCGTGGGCAAGTGCCGTCAGAGATATACTTTGTGTAACAGCCGGCCGGAAAACCATGATTCGGAAAGCAGCAAGTACAGAGCCAGGGTAGTGATTCCAACTTGCAGTAGCTCATGAGTATTCTGCCTTGTCAATTCTTGCGGCTTGTCTTCACTAGATGTCGACGCTGTTTGTTCAGCTTGCTTGGCCAAGGCAAGACAAGCGACCAATGACTTTTCTTCATGTAAAAAGGTCCGATGTAATGGTCACAACATGTCACAATAATTATTTGAAAGGGAGATGGCCTTTTTCAATCAAGCACACACGCACATACGCACAACAAAGGTTCCATCAGGCACTCTTTGTATTTTCCGCGCTGTTGTCCACTCATGGCAGATGCGCTGACACAATCGAAAGTCGTTCGACTTTCCGTCATTGAATTGTGGGCTGCCATTCAGGCACGGAAACTCCACGTGCCAGAGGGGAGCCTAGATATAGAAGCTAGGGCCATTTTGGCCAGAGACATACATGGAGCACCTGCTGATGACCAAGTAGGTGAACTGCAAATCTTGGAGCCTGAGAAGAAGGTGACAAAGTGTAAGTACAGCGAATCGAAAGTTGCAAGACTGTCGCACGCGGAACTGCAACAGCAACTCTCCGCTTGGAAAGTTTTGGTTGGTAGCCACATGCTGGATCTAGAGTCTTGAATCAAGCAAGAATGATGTTGTTCGGGGTAGGTGGAGCTTTGATGTCCAAACTTCAGTAAAGAAGGCAAGGTTTGCTTCTTTTGATGTTCGCGCATCCATGTCAGGAACGAAGAGCTGCTTTGTGTCGTGCCATTGTTGGTCCCAATCTCCAGATTGCGGCGCATTCTCTTGTGCTGGGTGATGCGGCTGATCTTCATCCAGATGCAGTGTCTAATTTGCAAGCTCTGGCTGCATCGGAGCTTCTGGAAGCTGCGGATGGTCAAGCACTTGCGTCAGGATGTGGGCCAGGGTCGGACACATGGGATTTTGGACCTCGTTTGACACCTCGTTTGCACCTCGTTTTGACCTCGTTCGAATGAGGCACACAAACCTCCAGAACAGTTGTGAGTTGTTTCTTGAACCCTGACAGGCTCTTGCGAAGCAGCTCCCTTGCAGACCGCGGCGTCCGATTGTGCAAATGGCGGTGGCGAGCTGACTGCTGCAGATCCTGCGTGTTGCAATTGCAACTCTGTCATGGGAGCTGGCATGGAAAGTCCTTTGCGTGGATGGTGCAAAGCATGCTTCGATCAGGAAATGGCATCTCGAGGTCTTGCTGCTGCAGCGCCATTGCCGCCTCCAGCCGAGCCTCCGGAGTCACCACCAGAAGCAGATGATATTGCATGTGACGAAGTAGCGCTACAAGAGGACTGGGGTATGTTTAAAACATTTTGTTGGAACATGCTTGAAACCCTGTGTTTGCACAAGAATTTGTTTGCACGGTGGTCACCAGGTGAAGCAAGGAAGACCTATCCGTACATCGTGGCAGAACTGGTATTGCAAAGTATCTCGCGTGGTCGGACCAAACCTGGATGGATGTCGAATGGGTGGCGTAGCAGCTGTCGCCCAATGGAAGTGCATGAGTGAAACCGAACAGAATCGATGGCGTGACCTATATATTGCTTGGTGTCTTTCACATGGTCATGTTTCCACTCCCTCGAAGAAGAAGAGTTCCGAGCCTGCTCCCAGTCCTGTCTCGACCATGAAATCGGGCCGTGCTCCAGTTCCACAGCCAGTGGCTGAGTCAGAGCCGCGCTTCACGACCCGAGCGCAGACCACCGAAGAGTTTGAGAAACGTTGGCAATTTTTGTCCGAATCCCTCCAAGAATCTACATCCTCCAGTGATTTCTTGAAGCGAGCGCAAGATTTTCATCTCCTCTACCTCGATGTTTGCCACTTGCTCTCCTTGGGCACATGGACTGGAAGCGCCGCCAAGGCAGAGCGTGCACTGAAACCTTGGAAAGTGAACCGGAACAAGCTCAGTCGAGTCCAGGAATGGCTTGCAGACTTGTATCTTGCCTGTTTGTTGCTTTTTTTTGGCTGTTTAACTGCATACACATGGGAAACATTCCTGTGCAGTTTCCCTAACATATTCTTCTGTTTGCCTACGCCTTCTTTCTCTCACCTCTCGCCTGTGCCCTTGTCTCTTCCGCGTCCTCCTGCTATTGCTGGGTTACTGGTTTTGGCTACGTGTGATATCAGCAGCTACCTGAGGTCTGACGATGAGGATCCAAATTATGTGCCGGCTAGATTTGCGGCAGGCAAGTACGGTACAGGAATGTTGACCATACCTCAGCGCAAAGATTTGGTCACACACGTGACCTTGTGCAGCCTGAGCAATTGCCCGCTGTCAGTGAAAGAGATCAAGCAGAGCATGTATAGATTTTACCTGCTCAACGCCAACATTATTAAAGCAGAAGAGCCAACTGACTGGGCAACTTTTGACGCCCATGAAAAGAACATGAATCATATATACAGAGGATGGATGGACTGGGTAAAACAGAGCTACCCGAAGGACTGTGAGGTACCAAAGAAAGCTAGTAACAGTTTTATCTAGTAGGGACTGACTAGCCATGTTCCATCAACCGCATTATGTTTGCCGCATGCCTGGTCCCTGCCCCAGGACTTTCACATCCGCCGGAAAGCCTTGCGCGCACTCTCCATCGATGCGGCATCTTCTTTAACACCACAAGCTATTCAGACATATTTTGACGGGCTCGAAGTGATTTGCAAGGAGACCAAGTGAAATGCAAAGCAGGTGGTATTTGCATGAATAGATAATGAGATAGATAGATAGATGGATGGATGGATGGATGGATGGATGGATGAATAGATAGATTGCTAGAGGGATGTTTTTGCGTAGTTTGAATTCTTATGTTTTCCAATCTCTTACAGACCAGTTCTCATTCGAACCTTCTGCAATGGCACTGCGCAGGACATCAAGCTGACTGGTGATGACCAAAAATGGGTTGACGGAGCTGGTGACAGAATCTGGTGCGTCGATGAGAAGGGATTGGAAGCATTGGACCATGGCAAGCTGAAAGGCAGACGTGTGTTGGTGCCTAACATGGCTCAGACTGCTACCAAGTCTGTGGCCGAGGGAAGCTTCGGACATATCTCCTTGCTGCCGTTCGTGTCCATGTCTGGAAAAGTGAGTCCTCCGAGCTTATGTGTGCAAGGCTCCGTCTACTGCAAGTCGTGGACTACAATGTGGCCCGAGGCAGAGATTCGTGCAACTCCGAAGGGCGCAATGACAGGGGAGCTGTTTTGTCAGTTTTGTATTCGTTGGGAGCGGTGGGTGCGCGAGTCATTGGACATCCCACGCCCAACGGAATTGCTGCTTCTTTTAGACAGTGGAGGAGGATCTTTGATTCACTTGACACCAGAATTCACAATCTTCTGTGATGCTGCATCTGTGCGTCCATTTTTTTTCCCGCCGTATGCAACGGCTGCTTGTTGTCCTCTCGATCAAGCTCCCAACATGGTGTGCGAACTTCGCTGGGATGAGCTACGCTCGAAGGGGCATGGCATGAACCAGCTGCAGGCCCTGGACTGTTCGCATGATTGCTGGGACACTGGCTACAGCAGCAAGAACATCGTCAGTGGATTCAAGAAATGCGGCTTGTCTGACTCCGGCATCGACCGGACAGTCGTGCTTGTTGACCGCGGCCCGCAACTGTTTCGCAGCACTGTGAGCAAAGAGGATCTCCAAGTTACTACCAAAGCAGCTACTGCTTTGTTGCACAGGCCTACAGGGTACAAAAAATCTGACGACAAGATGCCTTGCACTCATTGCGCCAAGCGCACTCCGTGCAGCATGCCGCGTTGTGGATTCTGTGGAAAGGAAAATGCACATTACAGCGTGGTGGCAGAGTGCGTCGAGAAGGGTGTGAAAGGAGGCGGCTTCACCCGAACTCAGCCTGAGGTTGCTTGTTTTGAAGAAGCCACATCGCATGTCCAACCAGGCCATAAGGCCAATCTGGCAAAATGGAGTGGCGACCTCATTGGTGAAATGAGGCGCCGAAGAGATAAAGAGTCTAAAGATTCTAAAGAGTCTTCTTCCTTGAAGCCTACACCTGCTACTCCTGAGATTGCTTCTTCCTCAAAGCCTACGCCAACTGCTCCTGAGACAGCTGAGCCTCCTTCCAGTTCTGATCATCAGCCTCCGAAAACAGAAACTCCTGCAGAAGAGCCGCAGAAGAAAGAATATGATCTTGAAAATCCACATGACTGCGTTGAATGGATTGTCGTGGCATTCAAGCAAAGTCAGCAGGCCGAAGTCAGACCCGTTGCTGACTTCTTTGTCCAAAATCTTCAAAAGAAGAAAGGTAAGGACACGTTGGCAGAAGCTTTCTACAAAACTGTGCTTGCGCCGAAGCTGTTGGCAAAGCCACAGGGGCGGGAAGCTTGGTTTAAAGCACAGAGACACAATCGCAGCTTGCGGTTTGTTGCGCACCCAAATGCTCAGTAGTGAGAAAAAACTGCGGTGGACAGTTGCGAGCATCAAATAAGAACATTGAACAATCTTAATTCTGAAGCGAATTATTAGATTCCATGATACACATTGATCCGTATATATATAAATAAACAAATATATATATATATATATATATATATATATTTATTTATAAATATACAGCATTTCCATGCTGAAGTACGTGATTCAAGACATTGAACAATGTTAGTTCTGAAGCGAATTGTTAGATTCCAACATACACATTGATCCGTATATATACAGCGTTTCCATGCTAAAGTACGTGATGATGACATGCCTCAGATCATACAAATATTACGTAGTTACATGGTGGTTAGCCACGAAACATACAAAAAGGTACTGTGGAAATCGCAGCGTTTCCATGCGGGAAAGCATCAACCTGCTATGACTTAAACCGCCCTGCTATGACTTAACCCTCAGGCAGCGTTTCCATGCGGAAACGGGACCCCTGCTATGACTTAAAACGGAATGCAATGACTTAACCCTGCCACTTGTATGGATCCATGGCTACTGTCTGAGAAGGTACGGCTAACCCTCCAGATTATAGTAAATTATACCCTAAACACTTCCTAAGAAGGTACGACTGGATCCATAGGGATACTTATAAGATACTTAGTTACAGTATATGGTTACTATTTGAATATTACATAACTTATGTATACGATATAACGTAGTAAACAGTATAACATACTTAGTTACTATCACCAGTTACTTGTAAGTTACTTTCACTATGCCATAGCTAGTTAATTTTAACCAGGTGATAACATATGTTATAAATGCTATATCATCTGTAAACCACATGTTAAAGTTATATTTTATCACCTGGTTAAAGTATGTTAACCATGTTTTAGCATGGTTTATAGATTATAGTTACTTTATCATACTTTACTACCTGGTTATAACTTATAACCTATTGTGTGTAGATGATGATATTACTGGAATGAAATGTTATAAAGCTATATTCCAATTATCAGTTCATTTCCGAACTAGTTAACTAACACCATGGCAGGATGATTTGTGGGTACCCCTATTTTGGGAAACCTCCATATAGTTAGATACAGTTGGCAATTTTTGGTTATACCATATATATATATATATATATTTACACACACATAGTTACATACATATGTATGTATATATATATATATACTGTATATGTATGTATGACCCGAACTATAAATCTAAAACATAGCACCTACTACTTGGGTCGCCCCCTTGCGCAGTAAATTGGCCCATTTTTGTCGCTGAGAAGTTTCGTTTCTTCCAACGGGGCAGGAGCCGACCGAAGTCGCTGATTGATATTGAGGGATCCACATTGGTGGCACATGTGCTGAGGCAGTTGTACAGGCGGGCACTGGAGAGCGGGACTTGGAGGCTAGGAAAAAGACTCTAATTTAATGGGTTATCATTCCATAATTAGGCTTAAAGCCCTAGAAACCAGTTATTGGGGTTATCATTCCATAAATACGATGACTTAGTGACTTGTAGCCGGTATAGGGCCATAACACCATAACTGTACTACTTGGCCGTTGATGGGATGAAACATGGTTAGATCAATGGGAATTCCAGGATCCAACAGATTGGAGGTACGTAAAGGTACCATATTGTTGGCCATATTTTGGGGGGATATCCCCTTTTACATAGCCCTAAAACATAGGTCATATATATGGCAGATGATGTTAGAATGTTACCATCTGGTTATTTAACATAGCCATGGAAAGTCACCATTTTTAATAGGTAAACCATCTATAAATGGGCCATTTTCCATGGTTATGTTAAATAACCAGAGGGTATAGGCGTTTTGTTGTTGCTCAATGTTGCAACATCCTGCGGAAAATGGATCCACCCCACCTCAGCACTCGGTTACCATCACACGACCAGCCCCCAGGAAAATGGGTGGTTTATGGCATTGTTTTAACCACAGTACAGCATTAGCTTACATAATGGTGATATCAAGTCAAATCATGTTACAACACAGTGCTATTGTGACAATCATGTTGTGGATCTCTCATGGACTCTTGGTGTTGTTCGCGTTTGCTTGATCCATGCCCCTTAAATGGATACATGTTTCTGAAACTCTTGCATTTTTTTAGCAAATACCTAAAATTGAAAAGAAACTAGTTCAACCAATACTTAAATAAACTTTAGCAAATAGCTTGGCTAAATACACCAATTAATGTAAACTTGATCCGTGATTTAGATCATTTAAATCCAAACTTTGCGGTTCTTCACAAAATTCAACTTCAGACTCCCTTCCGCTCCAGGGGAGGCATCAAGCACGTGGTTTTTGTGGTGTCACACAATGGCACCACGGCTGCAGTCGTGGCAGTGCCCCTCAATGTTCGTTGGTTCATGAAGCCCACTATGCATGGCAATTCTGAGACATGTCTAGAGAGTTTTGGCCCGAAATACCAGCTATAAATGGTTAGTGGTTATAAATGTGGTTAGTAAATAGCCAAAAAAAGTTATGTCACCGACTTTTTTTTCGGGTATTTCGGGCCACAATTCTACAGAGACTTTAGGTATCATTTTTTGTGCCATGATAAGTCGTTGGTCATGGAGATCCTCCATGGTATCAGGATTTGCTGGATTTGCCGGATTTGGATTCCCATGGTGGGATGACGATACACTGGTGGTTTCAAACATGAATTTTATTGTCCATGTCATATATGGGATAAAAATGGTTTATATCTGGGATGATGAACATGTCATCTATTTTTTCAAAACATGTTTTATCATGTTTTATATATGGGATGTCATCCTTCCCATTGACAAACTCATAGTTTTCAGAGGGGTAGGGCTCAACCACCAACCAGTACAAAATAGACTATGTTTTGACCATGACACATATGGCTCTGTCTTAACATGCTGCATGCTGCTGTAGCCGCAAGTAATATATGGTATTTTGGGGAACATGAGAACCCACCTAATCTATCTTTGTTCACATTTCCTGGGTGATTTTGTTGTTATGTTGCTGTTTCCAACCCGAACATCTGTGTTTAGTTGGCAATCTTTCTCTTTCCTGGGTTGGAGGTTTGAAAGCCGATCAAATATATCGAAAGACCATGGCGCCAAGTGGCTGTTGTTTCGATTGTAGCAGTTTGGCTGGTTGATTTTGGTCGCTTGAATTCTTTGCTCAAAACTTAAACCCCAATGATTTTTTGGTGTTACCACGTTCTAGTTGGTGGTTTCAAACATGTGTTGCGGCCTGCGGTCGTTGGCGCGCGCAAGGAAACATGTGTTATTTTCAATATGTCTAAACCCTAACAGAGGAATGAAATCCCCAACTGACTACCCTTTGGGAACCAAACATTGCTAGCTGGAATTTCCTCCCTTCATTTCAAGTTGATTTTCCAAGCTTGAACTAGAACCTCAATTTTGAGGGATGTGCTTGATTACCATGCTTGATTACCAGAGGGCAAATCCATGACTGGTTGGTGGTTTGGAACATGAATTTTATGTTTCCATATATTGGGAATTTCATCATCCCAACTGACGAACTCCATCACTTTTCAGAGGGGCAGGGCTCAACCACCAACCAGTCATCATCATTCACCATCATTAATCATCATTAACCATCATTAAATCACCATTAATCACCATTAATCACCAACCAGAATCCCAACTGGGGCCCTAGGCCCTCCTAGAACTTGGTATACCGCCAAGGTCCTCTGATCATCCAAGAGTTGGAAAGATGTGTCCGAAATCTTAAAGGCCTGCAACTGGAGGTGCGATTTCTACACGGCGCACTGTGCGAATGCCTTTTTTGTACAAAGGACGTCTTCAAGGTGATGAAATGCATGAAATGGTTACTGCAATTGGTTGCCTAACTGGGCATGGTGATTAAATATTTAGAACTTGTTTTATATAGTTTCATTGATTTAGGGACTGATCAACATAACTTGGAGGCACCACTTTGCAATTTGTCGTGGTTTTTCACACCCATTATTCATGGAATTCTATGAGTATATCATATCAAGTATAAATTGTTGAATTTACCTATAGGCTTATAGGATAACTTATATGCGATTAAACCATATTAACCAAATTAGCTGACTGTAGGGCATAACCTTGTTTGTATCGTCTGCGTGCTTTCAGCTGTGGGGTCCTCATGAATAGCAGCTAAACGAAAAAAAAGACCTAGCTGAAGCTTTTAAAGCGAGTTATGCTGCGTTCGTTAATTTCCGTTTATTTTTTGCTTAGAATTTATTGAGTACCATTTTGCAACCAAAGGTTACAGGTTTAGCTGCTTTTAACTTTTAACCATTTCTTGAAATGTTCAACTTGTCCGAATTATTGTGCGGTTGGGATATGATCAGCCACAACTTGGTGATTGCTTCAGTGACAAAACAGGCGGCTACAGTAGGGTCTGAATTTTGCTTGTATCCCATGGTACCCTAAGCCGTGACGGCTTAAGGGAATGATCATAGCCATGAAAATCCCTATTTTCAATGGGAAAATCCACTATTTCTATGGCCATGTTCCATAGCTATGTTAGTTTACCAGAGGGTACATATGCTAACATTGCCATTTGCGGCTATAGCGGCTAGCAAACCCCTTCGAAGCTTGGAAAATAACGGTCCACATACGTTTTGTCTTCCTTTAAGCGATACCCCGCAAGTTTGCCATACATTGGCCATATACATCATTTTGTGCAAACATGTGGCAAGCGATGGGACCTTTCCAAATTTGTGGATGTCCTTTCCATGAACCTGGAGTTTCCGAGATTGTTCACATGTCAAATTGTCATAAATGTTGGCCGTATATATATATATATATATAGAGATAGACATATATATATATACATATATATATAATATATATATATATATCCTTTCTGTCCCCACGAAGGACAATGACCTCCCATTGCTTGCTGGGGCGGTGATTGGAATCAAGTTTGGCATGGGAACTCTCAAATGCGACCAGCGGTTTACACCTGGGATTGGCTTAAATCATAAATCTATTGATCCCCAAAAATATGGATAG